TACGTGCCGAATAAAAGGACGCTACACATATACTAATATATATATATATATATATATATATATATATATATTTATATAAGCACCACATGGATACAACGACCCCCAGATGAGCCTATGCTACTTGCGCTGGAAGACTACTAGGCCTAACTAGCACAGACAAACTATGCACGCGTCAAACTGAGACGCTGGGCAATACATAAAGGAATCTGATCACACCGATACTACGGGGGACTTGAGGTGGTCACTGATAATGTAATATGTACTCTGAATGTCCACCGTGTCTTGTTGAAGCGGAGAAAGAGTCACTCCTTAACCCATAAACTTTAAACCCAAACCCCTCGTAACCCACCAAACAGCAACCCGCCCACGCGAACAAAGTGACTCCCCATGACATGATCCAACCAACCCCGCAGCAGCAGCAGCACGCTACTTACAAAAGCGACCCAATATTTCTGTAATTCGGTTTTCAGGTACTTACAAAAGCGACCCAATATTTCTGTAACTCGGTTTTGGGGTACTTACAAAAGCGACCCAATATTTCTGTAATTCGGTTTTCAGGTCCTGTGGGAATTCGGGGTTGTAGTGCGAAAGTTCGTCCACCGCTCCATTTGCGTCAACTTCACCCAGCGCATCTTCGTAATCTGCGTAACTATTTTGCAGTTCAGATAACGGGATCCCGGTATTCCTATACCCCTGTATTGCATCATTGGAATTTGAACACAATGTTATATATATATATATATACATTTATATATACATATATATATATATACGTTATGTAAATATATATATACATACATACATATATGCATGCATGCATACATACATACATAAATACATGCATACAAACATACAAAACATACATACATACAAACATACTACATACATACATAAATACATACATACATACATCCATTCATACATAAATACACACACACATACATACATACTTACATACATACATAATTACATGTATACATACAAACACACACACACATATATATATATATATGTATATATGTGCGTGTGTGTGTGTGTGTGTGTGTGTGAATGTATGTATGTATGTATGCATGTATATACATACACACATATATACATTGCACAATGTGAACATGAATACATTCAGGTATACATCCATATAGTTATATCATACACACTCACACAGCAACATCACTAGAAAACACACTCACAAGCCAGTACCTACGGCTCCCTGATTGTGCGTAGGCATACTTTGTGGGTGTACATCTAGACTCAAGTATTAACCTCGCGCAACAGCATACCAAGTCATATGCAACACCGTAGACACCTCATACACACACACTCATGTTCGGTACACTTCTACACAACTACACATACAAAACAGAGCACGCCGCAAGCACGCTACGAACATACCCCCACACACGATGCACACATTAAAAAACCCGTTATACCTTACGTATACACTCACACACACACTCACTTTATACACGCCTACACACTCACACACACACACACTTCATACACATCTACACACTCACACACTCACACACTTCATACACACCTACACACTCACACACTTCATACACACCTACACACTCACACACTTCATACACACCTACACACTCACACACACACTCACTTTATACACACCTACACACTCACTTTATACACCTACACACTCACTTTATACACATCTACACACACAC